AATCGTCGGACCGCGACTGATAACGACGCTGCCAAATGTGCGTCCGTCGCATCGCGGCCGAGTTCGCCACGGTGGTCCACGCGTTCCTCGCAGCCTCGTTACTCATACTCCGGGGCTGTAATCCGCTCGTGCAGCCGGCGATCGGCCATCGTACGCCGGTTACACACTGGCGAGGGACCTGTTTCCTCGTCTATCGTTTTTGGATTTTATTCTTATCGAATCTTGGTGTTCACGTTTCTTGGTTTCTTGTTTTCGAAGTTTGAAGTTCGAAGGAAGACGAGGTTTGAAAAATATATATGTATATATATATATATATTTGTATATATCGCGTTGGATTGTATCGTTTAAATTCGCGTTGGAAGTGAGAAGGTGAAGGTTCGGGCTGATAGTTAAAGGGACCTGGTGCGAACGGCGAACTGGATCTGATAGCGGTGGATAAGATTATACGCAGGACCCCGCATTGACGGTGAGTTTTGAAAACTGGATGGTATATATATATATATACAAGAAGTTTTGGTGAGGTTTCTCGATTTTTGAGAGATATTGGGGATTGATGCCTCAAGATTTAACTTGTTTGTGGTTAAAGACCGATAGTAATATTCTAGTAAATAATAATGTCATAAACAAAAGTTTAAATATTATGTTTCCAAGAAGAATTTTAATAGCTTAGAAAGTTAATGAAACGTTTTATTTCTTTTGTTTTATAATTAAACTATGATTATAGAAGAATGGTAAATAATACGATAAACAAGAATTTCTATTCAACTGGTATAATTAAAATAAAAATCTTAATAGTATAAAAGTCGATGATTTTATTATAATGGATCTAAAATTCAACTTTCTTTGACTTGCTATTATATTATATTATATATTATATATTATATGTTAAGTATAGATAAATTCCTATTTCTTGTTATGATATTATTAAAAAAAAAAAAGAAAAAGAAAACGAATTTAAGTAACAACAAGATAACCGTCATATTATAAATCTAACCTTCTAATGAGGATAATCTCCTATCTCTTTGAATTAATGAGTTTTTAATAAAAATAATTGCAAGATAGATACATCGATTATTATATTACACATAAGTATAAAAATAGTTAATAAGATTTATACAAAACACTCTATCTTTATAACCATAAAAACAAGTTGGGATGTAACACCGTTTTCCCACTATCTCTGAAAAATAACCACAATAATTTAGTGGCGTACAGTAGTGAAACTATCCGAACATTCATCGCCTCGTGGCCGAATTTCCGATAACCGGCGAATAAAAATCGACACGGTTATTATTCCGCTTTCTTTCTCACGGTTTTTCTTTCTTTTTTTTTTTTTTTTTTTTTTTTAGCGGTTTATGATATACACCGTGTGCACCCTTATGAAACACCGGCCTCACCTGTCCCCACGCATGTTTCGCGTATTAACCGGTCCTGCATGTATCTTCAACGCTAAATTACCGCCCGCAATTTTTCCTGCCATCTCTTTTATTGCCTCGCATTCTACGTCGTCGTTGTTCATTTTTTTAACGCCTCGTAAATTTTACATACCATGCTCTGCTCCTCTCTCTCTCTCTCTCTCTCTCTCT